GTTCTGTAGAATCAAGCTAAGCCTGCAAAATAAGCTATACTGTAGATTAAACTGATAATGTGTTTGTAGGGTAAACATCAAGTCGAGAACCCGTGGATAAAGTTAGTATGAAAAGTGTAAAAGGGAAATAACTAATCTGACCCTATCCAAAGATAGCAGAATCTAGCTATCTCTCTTATGTGATGGTAAAAACAAAAAGGTTGTCTGGCACCACAGGGGGTCACTGCATCCAGCCAAGAAGTTATGTGGCACTTAATATCCCTGTGAAACCTCAAATTTACCCTATTACAGTAAGCCAGATATATTTTTTTGATTTTCTCTAGTTAGTTACAGTTGTGAGCGGTTGTGTTATGTGTTTTTATGCAACGCTAGGTTTATTTTCTCCTCGCTCCAGCTTTATGGATTTATAGAGATTTCAAAAACAAAGCAACCTTACCAAAGTCGAAGTTGTAAATATTACACCTAATAAACTGTTGATTTTTGAAGAAGAAAGAATAACAAGAACAACAATTAACAAACAATGTAACAAATAGCACGGGAAGAATACAGTACCTGAAAAAGCTCGTGTGTTCCATAAAACTGAAACTGAACACGAGTTGTATTTCTCCCTCCAGTAGGGAAAAAATCATTGAGTGCAGAAGGCAAAGAGATTGTTGCATTTGCTGTGGGATGTGGTTTATTCACAAAGCCCTGGTCGACAAACATCTGAGAAAGAAAAATAAAACAGGGTCACATTGCTGCACAGTGTTTTAAAACTGCCTGTATGGATCATGGAGCTTTTCCTGTTAAAACCCAATCTGCCATGACTGCTTGAGGCCACAATATCTGTTTGCCAGAACAATCACCTGTGTTTTCAAGGGCATTATTGCAACTAAATCTATCCTATAAGCAGTCAGGTGGAAACTGTTTTTGTTTTTCGCATTGAGTTAATACAAATATAGCACTTCATTTACTTTAACATATTTTATAATTTTTGTAATTAAGGGAAATTCCTAATATGTCAAATTCACTTCCCTCTTCATTAGAGCATTTCCAACCTCTCACCTCAGGGCTCTTAGTTGGTGAAACAATTGATGCACCAAAGGTGAGACCACTGAATTCCTCTGGATCCACATTGATCATGGAAAATCCCAGTGGGGGAGCGGTTAAATTAGCAGATTCACCTTGGAATATCATATTATCCGCCATCCTGTCTGTCAGATTGAGGAAACTTTTTGCAAGGAAGAAATTTTTTAGATTAGCATGTAAATAAGAACTGGATTCAGAAATGCACAGCTCATCAAACTTGGGCAGGAGTCACACTTTCATTTTTCCTTACGTGTTTGAAACCGGAGTAACATCAGTGTTGGAAAGCAGAATATCAGAAACAATAGTGACGATGTTGGCTCCAACCGCAGAGTTAACGATGCTTTCATCGACTACTTCACTGAGCTTTTCCACCACAGATTCCAGGTGAGAAGGCGAGAGCTCCGAGCTATTGCCTAACTGAATAACTACAAGGTCCTGAATCACCACCACAACCTCAGCCGCATTACCTGGAAATCATTAACACCAGAGGGTTTTTTGGCTTGTGTTGAAGTTGTGAAGAAATGGGAATAAAAACAGACTGCACGTCGATCCTCTTACCAGGAGTGACAGTGATATTGTTAAGGTCCGATATTGATAGATGTTGGTGGCAGTTCTTCATGTTAGGATCAGCCCATCTGGTTGTGTCAGTTTCAATGTCTAACTTACTAAACAGACCAGAGAATTGAAGGGAGGAGGAAATAATAAAAAGAGAACATCAAACATCTTTATGGTCTGATCTAATTGAAGTTGTTGCACAAAGTCGCACTGTATCTATATCTTGGCTTCTGGAAGAAAAAAGAAAGAAGAAGAAAAAACAACCCTGTCCTGGGCCAATAATGATTTTAATAAACCTTAGCGTAATCTTAATGTTTCACTAAGAGATCATAAAATTGATTACCCCTATTACACAGTCATTTCCGTGTCGTGATAATGCAATCATTGAAGCATAAAAAACTGAGGCTTGTCATTACACTAATAATCAACTTAAAGGAAATTGATTTTTTTTTTTTCAGATTGAGCTGTGGGCTGGCAGGGATCCGTCAGTTTTACGTGTGTGGGGTCAGAATTGCACATGGTGTGGGTGGAGTAGCTGGAACAGGGCGTTATATGAGGAGCTTTCCTCATCTTGCTGAACTGTCTGTGTGCAGTTCTGACAAAGATCACAGAGATCTTAACAAGTTAAAAGAAGATAGAAATAACACCCTATTTTTCCCCATATTTCATTATCAAGATAAATTGATGTTTCATAGCTTGTCTAAAGCGTGTCTCATTGACAAACAAATATTAGCCTACTTTGTTATTATATGGGGGATATTGTGTAATAATCTCTTATATAGCAATAAAGCAGTCTAACAGTCTGATAAACGGTGCTATTAAAGCGCCATTGCCTCTGGTCAAATATTAAATCTGCCGATTAGGAATATGATGATGTCTTACCAGAGTCTGAAAGCTCTCTCTGATGTTGGCGTGATGCATCCCATTACTTGGATTCTTTGTGGAAATGTTTCAGGCCATATGTATTTTCCATAGATTGTGAAGCTAGTGTCTTCTGAACAGTTTTTTGGCACTGAAAAAAAAAATACTGTTAGTCTTCCATAACTTACCTAGGTTTTTGTTTGTACCAGAAATATAGCTCACCTATATGTCTGATCATCACTTCCACAGTTTGGATAATAATGGAGTGATTTTGATACTTTGACACCAAGGCAGCTTGAATTAGGATTTCAATTTCTGCCACAGTGTTTTTGTTGCATTCCTGAACATGGAAGGCACAGTAATATCTGATAATGAAATATGCAGTTGGTAGTTAGAGACACCGATTTTAACAAGTATTTCTGAATTTGAATATAAATGAAGTTGAATTACAGTATTACAGAAAACCAGACATAAATATATTTCTTTCTTCCATATTCATTGTCACTTACTGTTTTGGTTGGTCCTGAGAAATCTAAAGAAAGAAACAGAGACAGCTAAACGTAAATGGAGTCGTTCTTGTCTAATATTAAAATGGATTATACACCACTTTACTTTATAGGCCCTCTCTTGCTTCTATAGTTGAGCGCGTACTCACCATTAAATTGAAATAATGCTCCGTGTTTCTATAAAATATTAGACAGACATATTTGTATGGTGAACATGTTAAAAGGGTCTAAAATGTGCAATAAAAATGAAGTTCTATTGCCACCCACCTGACAGCATTCTCTTTTATGTCAAGATTCAGTACACTCATCGTGTTATTCACCTCTAGCTGCTTTTTCACCTTTTGGCAAAAACAAAAGAAATTTGTTTAAACTGTTTTGTTTTTTTTTCTAAGTATCTTTCAAGTGCAATTATATTAGTGTTTTACCCATTTCTCAATGATATCCTTTGGATCCAAAGGGTTTCCAGTCATATTTAAGACCAAATCAACTCTAAAGAATTGATCTGGTTCTACAGCAGGAGGGAAAACAGTTAAACAGTTAATTCTACAATGTGTTTGAAAAACTGTAACTATTATGATTACTTGTGAAACTAAACTTTAAAAAAACACCTCTTAAACTCTCTCAATACTTTGTTGAAAGAAAGGAATTTAATCTGTGGGAATCTACATGAACATTGATGTGAACATTTTATTGTTTAACAGGGTCCTTGTGCAGATCGCCCATCATCTGATTTCATTCAGTGATTTATTTGAATGGACATTTTGTGATATAACAAAGTAAACAGTTGAACCTGAAGAAACAAATCGAATTCATAAATGTGATTTATGTGAGTCGTGCAGTGAACTGACCAGCAGTGTCATTGACATGCAAAGGCTCTCTGGTCGTTGGATGAACTGATGGACTGAGAGTTGGCGTTGTCTCTGCAAATTTAAGTGACATGTTTATAACAAAGCTTGTGGGGAATGTCTTGCAGACTTTGCTTCACATGACAAAACATATTTCCTGCAATCGATTTAGACAATGCACTTCTAATTGTTATATTTTTACAGGCAGGTGTATCGATACCGGAGCTGACAGTTGGTGCAGGTTCTGTCGAATTGGAGAATTGCTCTGAAAGGAAAAAGAAAGAAAGCTTTAAGTACAATTAGATGTATTTAGAATTGCAGGAATGTGCACTGGTTCTAATTATGCCTGTGGGTGTGAAATATAAACACGTGGAAAGTTCATACATTATTATATTTTAGGCTAATCCAGTAGTGCACTAAAGTACAAAAGAAGGTTATTTTATATGCATGTGTGTGTGAGCGAACTATGCAGAGTATACTCACCTACAGGAAGTACAACAATGTTGTTGCCCTGAACTGACAGATTGAGGAAGTTTAAAGGGGAGCGCAAACTAAGCAATGCTGTAATCTCTGTCTGAACCACTTCAACATCAGCAGGAGGATTCACATGTATGTGCACTTCACAGCTGAAGCTAGAAATAAATCCAAAATACATGAGCTTGTTTGCAGCCGTGTAATTTGTGATTCTCTCTTGTTTTTTCTAGGTTTTTATTAAATCTTACCAGCTGTCACAGATTGTGTTTGATAACAGTTCCAATTCCTGAAAATAACAGAAATTTTTCAGAACTTTAGTGGAAAGTTATGTGGTTTCATTTGCTTATTTGTCTCATGACAGATATCAGGGTTTGTGTAGGACGATTGCTTCCTTAGAAAAATAAAGACTTTCATTTATTCATTAATTAGTTTATTTTTGGAGAACATTACTGATTCTTTCCACTGAAAATCAAATTGTACCTGGTCTTTGTCTAGAGTAGCAGAATCATTAACTATGGGGCAGCTACTGCTGGATGGGAACAGAGAGAACAGAAATTAGAGGCAGGAGAGTCAAGAACAGCTGTTATAATTAGCAAACATTTAGAATGAAAGCATTTCTATTATTAAACTAAAGGGCCATGCTCAAACACAAATTTGAGATACTTGTATGTCATTTATTTATTTAGTAGTTTTGCGTTCTGCGTTTTTAGGTGTACTGAGAGAAAGATTAGCTTTGAAAAAACATCTTACCAAGGGGATGACACTAAGATGCTATGGATAGATGTGTTTTTGTGGAAAATGCTTTCCAACTGGTAAAAGAGGACAGAGACAGTCAATTACTGTGATAGACAAATCTGGGTATTTGCATTCAGGCAAGTTTTTCTTACCCAGATTTTAGAGATTTCCTCCAGTGACAACAAAAGCTTTCCCGGGTTTAACGTGTTAAATATGCACGTCTCCATTTTGACTGTGTAGAATGACCATGCTAAAAAAATATAGAAAGAAGAACAAATGAACTGTTATTATCTTAAATAGTTTACTAACTGCAATATTATCCCCCCTCTCATTTAAATAATACATCATTTTTAATGTAGCGTTATGTAAGTTAGTTTAAGACTTATCAAAACATTTCAACAATATCAGAATCTTAGGACAAAACATTTTTAATAAGTTCAAACTGTGATTAACTTTGTCATGAGCAATCTCACAATGCCTTGTGGATAATTTTCTGTTTACTAAACTTTATTTAAAATATCCAACATTTGGAATATCATCCACCCATTTTCATATTTGCTATAAGGACTCAGCCTAGCCCAGCAGATTTTGAGTGAGAGCGGAGGTACATCCTGCACACGATGCTATCACAAGTCTAACATAGAGCGACGGACAAAGATTTGAGCTCACATTCACCAATAGCCATTTTAAAATTAACCCAACATGCATGTCTTTGGAATGTGAGAGGAAGCCAGAGCACCTGGAAAGAACCCATGCAGGCTTAGGAAAACAAACAAACTCCACAGAGACTAATCTTTAACAGGCCAGCAGGTGAAAAACTGGAATTTTTATCTTGTAAGGTGAAAAGTCCCAGAATAAATAAATGCCATCTTTGACATTTCAGCCTAAGACACCAAAACCGACTGAGGACCATGAATGCATCATCAAGGCTATCTGAACCCCACTCTAAGAGTTTACAGATGGGCAGACTGATATATTTTCCCATAATGTCTTGCTCCAAAATCTCCACAACACAACAGCTCAAAGTGCTGCATATGAAATAATGTAAAACACACAGAGGAAAGTTTCCCAAAAAATATTTTATCATCTGAAGACTGAAAATATCTTAAGAAAGTTACACTGAGAAAACATTATCTTTAAACTTGTGAGTCATGTTTCATAAGAATATATTTCAGAATATGAATTTTAGGCTTGCTTATGTTGCTGGGAAGTTCCCTATTAGCTAGAAAACTGTGCATAGTCCAAACTAGATGACTGTGAAATGCAAAAATAAAAGCCCATAATGTATTTACCACAGTGTAGGTTGATGCTGGGCTCAGGAGGGCAGCTATAGGTCCACTGCTTTAGGTCCCAGCTCACCAAATCCCCATCTGTACAGTTCAGGTTTTTCAGTTCTTCAAGGCTCCATTCTCTGGCCCACATCCGAAACAGAGCTATCTCACCTACCAAGTTAGTGCCAGTCTCCGGTTGGATTTCACCATTTGCGTTTACATAATGAGACACACCAAGAGTGAGAGTGCCGTTTTTGGACAGTTGCTGGCTTGTTGTTAGACATATTTCAATCAGAAAGGTACTGTTGATGGAGATCCTTAGTCGCTGAGCTTGCCCCGACCAGGTAAGACAGACAGAGTGCCACTCATTCACTGTAAGGTTATTTTCATATTGCCACTCATGTCCGAACAACTTTACGAATAGTTTTCCATTTTTGCCTCCAAGACCCAGCTCCGTCTGTCTGTTTCCTGGAGCTTTGTATTCAAAACCTGTCCAGTCTGCTGAAATGGTGCGACGTAAACTCATGCACACACTGAGCTCCCTGAGGGCTGGTACCGGAACCCCCGAGTGTAACTGCCACAAACACGGTTGGACTTGAAACACCAGCTTCTTACCCCACAGGCTGGTACTAGCAAAGGCTGCTGAGATTAAAACATGGGAAGAAATTACAGAGATGGAAAAAAATATAAAAAGACAGAATACAGAAGATATATAGTAAATTAAATCCCCCCCCCCTAATCACTCACAGTTCATTTTTATTTAAGTTTAAATATCAACTTTCCCAAAAGACGAAATACATTTTTTAATTATGTTGTTTATACACATATTATTTTATGACACAATATACAATATTTTGAATATTTTTTTTCTCTTACTTGAACCCAGAGGACAAGCTGACATAAATATACAGAAACAGGTGGCCAGAGAAGACAGACTTTTGATTGAGTTCATGGCAGCAGACGAAAACGGTTTCTGTGCGAGTCAAGTGGTCATCTGCTGAAGGTCGACAGTAACATTCATTCATTCACCTTTAAAAAAAAAAACTCCCAAAATAAACAAAACAAATCCTACCAATAAACATACATGTGTGACGGAAAACTTACCATGGTCTCCTTGACGTGGTTGGAACCTAAAGATGAACTAGTTTTAAGCAAGCAGAGCCCTCAGACTGCTGGGCAACGTCACTTTTGACTCCATTAGACCTCCACACCCAATTCCCCGTATTTCGCCGAGTTACTCATTAATCGCAGGCAATAAACATGACTACCAAACAAAGCAATTTAAAACCCATGCCCACATGAAACGTGTGCAAAATAAGTGTTTTTTCTAAGCACATTTATTTCCCTTTTGTTCGATATGAGCACGGAGTTTAAGTGATATGCTGACAAAACTCAGAGGTCAAAAAGAAAGTCAGGAACAGTTTTCATTTAACATTCTTGTTTTGTGTGAACGTGCTGAGGAGATTCCTTCTGTCTAAATACATAATACTTTTATTTTAAGGGTTCCTTCATAAACTGATTTCCACATGTGAGTGAATACTTCTGTGAACTGTTCTGATGGATACGGAGACTGTGTTTCTAACGCAGGAGATTTGTTTTATAGACACAAAACATATTGTTGTCATTTTTAATTTCTTGTACAACCAGAATATTTCCAGGTTAATTATGTGAGTATGTTCGTGTGTGTATCTGTGTGCCTGTGCATAAATGCGTGTTTGATGTTATTGTACGTGTACTTTACAATTCTCTTCTAGTGATAACTCTTCAAACAAACCTAATTAGCTTTTCTGTGTGACACGTGCTCAGGCAGACACACGTGAAGTTCACAGTACAGCTTTCCTTTAAGCCTAAACAATTTAAATAATCTGTATATGTCAATATTGTCTTTTTTTTCCATGAATGATCATATTTTTTTATTCCATAATATCCTGCCATGCCGGTGAAACTGCTTGAACAAGAATGGACTTTAAATTGATGGCATTGCGTGTGCGTGTGTGTTCATACTGCCACCAAGTGGTCAAAAACTGTATCACTATTACATAGTTTGATATGACTTATTAGTAATCCTTGCATAATTCACAACCTAAGTCTTACCTTCTGCACGATGGGTGCGGTAGTAATATTCAAGATTTCATTCCAGCCTGGAAACTCTTTCAAACAAAAACAATACCTTTCTTTTAAATGTCTCTTAACAAAGGTCTTATTCATTCATTTTAATTCCCCTCCCTCCTCTTACCCTCCAGACAAGCCAAGTGGGTTCCCCAGAGGGAATTTAAGAAGGCAAGATGTGACGTCAGGTGTTCAGGTGAGGGGCTTCTATTCACTGGTCAGGTTTGGAAGCTCTCCTGCGTCACGAGTGATGTAAAATGACGGGGATTCCCAAACATCTTTTCCAAACATATCCTATGCTGAGCTGAGGGGAAACTTACTGAGAGACAGACCACAGCCTTGCTTATACCATCTTTAAATAAGTGATTATTCTACCAGAGATATATAGCCTGAACCTTACTGATCACTTGAAGTAAGTTTTTATATCTTATAATTATTGACTGACATTGTCCTTATATTGTAAGTTATGCACTTTAGATTCTAACAGTCAGAAAACCATATACTTCTTATGGCTGAGATTTTTGTGTATCAGGAAGGTGCTTAACAGAGAAGATCATGGACATTTGCCTGGTTGAGGCTTGTTTCTATGCTGTTCTGCTCTTGGTAAGTCTGATATTTTTCCTTTAAGAGGTTTCTCAACTTTAACACTTTAATCCTCCTTCTATATTCTGTGATAAGAAACGAATTTATAGAATTCTAATGAGGTTAAAAGTCAATATTTTGTATGACTGGCTTTATTCTTCAGCACAGTCTAAACTCTCAAGCTTTCTTGTAATTCCCTTTTAGTAGACTTTAAGAATACTTCTCCAGGCTGCTTGAAGCTCTTTTTATTGTACTTGATCTTTATTCCATTCTCTGTCAAGATTATCCCACATTGTTTCTATAGGTAGTTTTTTTAGGCCTGTCATTTCTTCTTTGTTTTTGCCCTCCATTTGTCCTGTCCCTCAAATTTGCAAAGTTTTTGATTAACAGCTCTTTGGCAATCATCTGGTTGGTGCAAAAATACTAATACTTGACACATGAGACACTGAGGGACAAAACAGATTAGACTAGGAGAGGAAACACAAAAGGGAATTGACTAAATACTGCTTAAGAGACCCAACCCAAACCTTGGATATAGGATGTGACAAAATACAAACAGATACAGAAGATACTCACTGGCAACAACAAAAATATAAACAATACGACTTTTGTTGTATTGTTTCAAGAGAAACAATGAACAAAACCAAAAGGAGCCATGAACCTATAAAAAATCTCAAAATCCTACAAGAGCTGGACTCAAAATGAGTGAAAAGCACCTATTGCCAAAAGTCCTCCAGAAACAAGGAGACTTGTTTCTCAAGACCATTTCTTTTGCTTATTGGGACATCTGGACCTGTGGAGTCATTTAGTCCTGAAAGTGCTAGGTTTTATAGAAAAACAAGTGCAAAATGCTTACAGTACATATTAACTTCTTCACATTTTCCTTCTGTATTCTAACAGTATGCCGTTACTTTTGTAAAGCCTCTAAGCTCTTTCACTACTCACAATTTTAAATATGTGTTTCTTCAGGTTTGCCGTGGGCTCGTGCAGTCTGAGCCCATCTGTGATCAGACAGAGTTCTTACACCCTAACGGCACTTGTGTTGCATGCCCTGCATGTGTGCCTGGAGAAGAGCTCTCAGAGGTAGCACACACACTCCTGTTTAAGCTACTGCTTGTTTTCTAGATGTGCTACTTCACTCCAGGTCTATAACACATGTGATTTTCAGGACTGTGGTTTTGGAGATGGTGGGGAAGGCGTCTGTATTCCATGTGAAGAAAGAAAGTTCAGTACAGAAACAGGTGTGACTCCCTGCAGAACATGCACCCAGTGCAGCCTGCTGAACCGCCTTGAGGAGACGGCATGCTCACCTACCAGTGACAGCCTGTGTGGACACTGCCTCCCGGGGTGAATTATTCGCACAGTACCAAAATAAACATAAGTCAAATTAGATATTGTGTTAAGCATATCATTGGGTTGTTTGTGCAGGTATTATGAACTCAGGAGCATGACTGGGGAAGTGGAGCTGCTGTGCTTAGCTTGTTATAGTCATGACACAATCCATACAGAGTGTTTGCTATTGACATCGAAAGGTTTTAAAGCAGGTAAGGTCCCGAAACAGATAGCATAGCAGTATATGTTAACAGTTTTGTTGAGTGGTGATTGTTCAGAGATATGGTTAAGGAAAGGTTATCTGTGGTTCTTTTACAGAGAGCACCACCAACTCACCTAAAGAACATTTCAGAGACCCAGAAGAGAAGAGTGAGTTACTTCATATCATGAACAACTTTTTTTATTAGTCTTGTAGTCACTTTTACCTGACTGCCTTTTCCCCCCCTAAGGAGTCAAAGAAGAAACGTTTTCAGTGGTCCTGATTGTTTCAGCAACAGCTTCCTTGATTTTCCTTCTTGCTTTGCTTCTTTGGGTTTTACACCTGACTGCTGAAAAATTCAGTAAGCCAGATCATGTTTCGGGTTTCTGCTACTTCTCCCCACCTATCTCTTGTTTACTCAACTAACAGGGGATCGTATGCACTTGTTGCAATTTTTAGAGCAAGTTCCTGTATACGCTTCCAAGCCTGAAGGAATGTTATCTGCTGCCGACCTTCAGCACACACCTTTGTTCACCCATACAGACAGAGCAGCACAGCCAGAAGAGGCGCCCTCACAGATAGTTTCAGCTGAAACTCCAACAAGGTGCTTTGTGAATATTATAACATCCATGCCTTTCATTTATCTGTATCAGTCCAGATATAATCATTGTTGTCATTGTTTATTATAAACCTAGAGGTCTGTACTCTGTGAGCCGTGAGAATGGGGTGCATCCTACTTCTATTGTGATTAATGTCACCACCAACATCAAGCCTTCCAGTCAGAATACAGACAGTATTACACAGGAGGAACAACAAAGCCTCATCACACAGGAGGTACAGTTTATACCTATAGCTATATCACTATCACACCTGGAGTCCACCTTTAGCAATGCCAAACTATAGGAACTTGAAATGTAGGAAGTTATATACTATATATTTTATGTATATTTCATGTACAAAATCATTTTTTTTGTTTAGTTTAGTTTAGTTTAGTTTAGTTTTTTGATAGTCAAAGTGTTATCTAACCATGAAGAAAACTTTGGTTTTGTTTCCTGATTTACTGAGATTTATGCCACGGGGACTTCTTTCTTCTTCCAAGAAATAAAGAACAAGACACAGAAAATTACTTACCAGAAATGACTTTTTTTTCTTTTCTGGAACCAAAGTCTAAGATACTGCCAACAATTTCCCAGAAGATTAAAAAAAATGCTTTTAAAATAAAATATTCCAAATAGTAATGATAGCAGGTTAATGAGCAGATCAGGACTCATTAACAGAGAATCACAGCTTTGTGTATGTATAATACCACTGCATGATATATGCAAGAGAAACACAGTATAATGACACATACAGTAATGAAGACTGACACTGTCAGTTAATCACTTTGAGATTAAAGTTTGATTGAATTCAGTATATTGACTCAGAATCTCACAATCCAAATGATTTAATTTATAACGATGTAAAACAGAAAAACACAAACATCTGGCTAACACTTTATTTTTTTTCTTACTTGATAATGACAACACAGATTGATGCTCCTTTTTTATTCATTCAAAACATTTCAGTAATAAAACAGAGTTATATGTCAATGTATTTCACACATGTATAAATTGGGTGACTATCATATTACTTCTTTTCTACTCTGTCGCTTTTATTATGTCACTATCAGATGGAACGACAATTGCAGGACATATGGGAGATCGCTGAAGGTATGTACGTCCCAAACCAGCCATTACAGCTGCATATATATATTTTATATATTTTATTTTATTTGTTTATTTTTTAATTCCCTGTTGTTCCTGGGATCTGCTGGAGCAGTTACTGCACTGAGTGCTCCGATTACCACTTCACCCCCCACATCTTCTTGAATTCTTCTCTCAGCTCTTAGGGTTTTTTAAACCTCTCGTGTTCCTTCTTCCTGATGTTGCTATCATTCAGTATAGCTACATCTATTACTGTGGACATCTTCCTCTGTTTGTCCACCATTACTGTGTCTGGACAGTTAGCCATCACCAGTTTCTCCATCTATATCTGGAAGTCCCACAGGATCTTAGCTTGGACATTCG